CCCCTGACACCGCGGGGATCGTTCAATCTTGAACGATCGGCCGTTTCTAAAACATCCGATCCTTCAACAACGTTAGATTTTTGGTCGCTGGCGGCGCTCAACGCTGAACGCCGGCGGCGGGGGTCGCGGCCGGTCGACACGACGCGAACCTGCCGTGGAACGCTGGCCATCGGGCGCCAATGCGCGACCCAAGGCGGCACCGCTGGGGCACTACTGGTAGGTCGGGCATGTCCTCCCACAGGCGGATGTGGAAAGAAACACAACATAAGTAAACAAACCTTGAAGACATGCTTTTTCTCTTGAGCAGCAAAAGCGAGAAATCGCTCCCAGACTATTTTTGGACTATGCTTAAATATTCCTCCAGAAGCGGGACGTGCTCGATGCCACGCTGGCCATCCGGCGCCACTGCGCGAACCAAGGCGCCAGCACTGCAGCACGACCTGGCGATGACCACCGCCCTGGCCAGGGTGCACCCAAGGGAACGCAGGAGGGAAGGCGAGGCCAGGAAGCCGCAGAGGATAGGGAACAGCACAGGGCACCCTCAGTGGAGCGCCAGGGCACCGACGAGCATTTCGAACCCATCGAGCGTCGTCACCAGTGGTGCACCAAAACAAGAGCGATAATTCGGAAACGAATCTAACATCGCGTCGCCAAGCCCTCGGCAGTCATCCGCAGACAGCCACAGCAGTACAACAAAACAGCGATAGGGCGCAGATGCCCAGGCACCGTGAGCCACCAGCCACCGATGAAGCACTGCTTGTTGGGCTTTTTGCTTGACTCCTGGCTTCCTCGCAACTCCCCCTGCTGTCAAGGAGTCAGGGATCAACCATGGGCCTTCGCGGCGTCCCTACGGAAGGCCTTTCAGCTTACCAGAGATGCGCGAAGTAGGAACGTGCGGTGCTATGGCAGCTCCCCTCCTGCTTTTTACCATCGCCTGTCCTACACTGCCTCTAGCCAAAACATCGCTACGCGAAGCTTCAACAAATTGAGCAACAAGTGCAGCCCTCCATCTGTGTATGTGACTGTTGCAACTCTTGAGACGCAGGTGCACGTCGCAGCAACGGGAACCGCATTTTGGAAACAGCTCGCCATCCACCCGTGTCTGATGGGAACTCCAAGCTTTCAGGCACGACGCTGTGCGGACGTGTGAAGCCACACGCCCAGCCTGCCCACTGGTCACGCCTGGTGGTGCGAAGGGGAGCGACGCTGTGCGAACGTGCGAAGCCGCACGCCCGACCCGCCCAGTCGTCAGGTCTGGTGGTACGAAGGGGGGGAGTAGTCTACAAGGCAGATATGGGGTGGAGGCTACACGAGGGATTGGGGGGAGAAGATGGGATAATATGGAGTGAAACGAGAAGAGGGAGAGACGAGGAGGGAGGATGCTGATGAAAGCTTACATTCGGCCGTGTGCCCTCAAGAGTCCCCATCTGGGAGCGACGAGTGCGCGATGCAAAGCGACGCAGAAATACAGTACATAGCTCGCGGCGCGCAGAGGGGGGTCGAGGTGAGGGCATGGAGCCTGGGATGAAGAATCACAGAGACTGGTCCTGGACGGAGTTGGGCCTTGGGGCGGGACGAGGCGATGGTCTTGGAGCTCCTGCAGTCGAGTGTGATTAGGGAAGACACGCGAGAGGACACATCACCCTTCCGAGGGCAACACTGCCATAGGAATGTAGAAGGTATGCGTCGCGAAACACAGGACACAAAGGAACCTGATTCGCAGGTTCGACCTGCCATCCAAGCCCGACTGTAAGGTGTCTCTCTGCAGTCTCAGAAGGCTGGCCTCGCCTCCACGCCCTGGTCTCTTCTGCGCGCCGCTGTGCATGGCGCACGCTCTGCGGAAAAACGGCCGCTGGGAAGTCGGGCTGTCTTCGGCGGTGGACAAACCTCCCTTTAGCAGACCTCCCCTCAGTGAAAACGGCCTGGGGCCGAAACCGACGGACCTGGACCCACAAAAGTGACGGCCGCCGACGCCCTCTCGCGACCCGAAAACGGCCGATCCCTTAATCGACGTGTCAGGGTAGGAGGTCTGTGCACCCCCGATGTCTACAGTGGGGGCTCGGCCACAAGAAACCTCCGCAAGAAACCCAGCCCTGAAATCCGCGATTTGTTCGTTGAAAACCCAAATTTGTCGATCGATAGTCGTCCAGATCTTATTGGGGGCACCTAGCAATCCAAGAAACTCAGGGCACCCTGGCCAAATCCAACTGGTTTCTTGACACACGCCCCCACTGTACTGGCCACGACGTCAGGAGGGGACACCCAGACCAGTGCAGAGCAGCCGGCACCACCGGACTCGAGCCAGAGTGGGCCGTGCTGCAGGGCACGGGGGAACAAAAGCAAGGCCCCGAAGGCCTCACCGCTTGACATCGCTCGGACGTCCATTCCCTGTGCTTTTTTTCGGCTTCGTGCGGGTTTTTGTTTGCTCGACGATCCAGGATGCTCTCCTCCAGGGTCCTCACCGAGAAAAACATATGCACAAGTCCGCGCGATGCCGGGACCGAAGACTCGTCGGCCAATGCATGTCAGGATTGCAGAAACACTGAACAAGCATAAATTATAAAGTGTCGATCGTCTGCGCGGGTTGCTTGGATCTTCGGGGGCGGCAAAGAGGGGGGTGTCCAGGAGGGGGGGGTGAAAATCATGACGGGCGGCATGTGCGCGGCCCAGCGGGGGGGCCGGGGACATGATGAAATAAGAGGGGGCGCCATGAAATCTAGGGAAATATCACGGCCCCCGCCATGATATCCACCCCCCCCTAGTCATCGCCCCCCTCTTTTCCGCCCACGAGATCTGCGCTGGACCCCCCCTCCCTGGCGCGTGGGCCTCGCTTGGCGCGGCGCCAGAGGCGCCGCCGGGGGGGGTCCCTGTGCCGACCCAGGCTGGCGGCGCGCGCAAGGGGGCAGGTTACTCCAGATTTCGTAATAAAGGGAGGGGGGTCTCATTTCGGGGGGGGTCTCTTCCAGGCTATCTTGGAGGGCCTGGGGGGGTCTGGGGACGATGTTTTGGAGGGTTCTCCCACGGGGGGGGGGGTCTGAAATGGCTCGTCTTGGAGGGTCCAGACCCCCTCCCTTTTATTACGAGATCTGGAGTACCAGCCTGGAACATATCCCTATCCCTATGCTGGGCACCTCCTCATCACGATGCCAATCTAGCTTCGGGATTCTCTTATCTTTTGAGGGCGGATCCCTGAGATTGTTGTCATCGCCCTTTGGTGTGTTCAATCTTAGGGACAGGGATACGGGATACGTGCGAGGCTGGTAAGTAGGGGGAGGGGGGAAGGCTTCTTTGAAGGAGCCTACTTGGGAAGGTGCGGGCCTTGCATCTGCAGATAAGGCTCGTGTCTTCTGAGAAGCAGGGGCGCTTCTGAGAAGCCTCCCACCCTCCCCCTGCCCCCCTTTCTGCGACTGGCCGACCCAACAACATCTGCGCGGAGCTCCGAGAAGTTCTGGTCGTGCCGCTCTTCCTTCGAAGGCAGCTACCAAGACAAGGAAGCATCAGCTGCCGCCTCCGCACACGGCCCCGCGCTGCCGGCGCCAGACCCCCTCCCCGCCTCCTCCTCCTCCTCCTCCTCCTCCTCCTCCTTTTCCTTCTCCTCCTCCCCGCCAGGGGGCCCGCCCCCCCCCCCGCACGGCCCGGCGCTGCCGACGTCGTGATGCTTGTCTCCGGCTTGGCATTACCGTCGTGTGTTTGCTCACGGCGCGAGGTGGCCTCCGAGGCCCGGCGAGGGCTCCCGGAGGCCGAGAATCGTAGAAGAAGATGCGGGCCATAGTCATATCCACATCCAGTGCGTCTTGGAGTCTTGGGCTCTCTTCCCCAGAAGCCGTAGACGCACTGGATTTGGATGAAACACTGGCTCCGAGCGGCTTGATTCTATCCATATCCAGTGCGCCTCGGCGTTGCGGCACCTCTTCCCGAAAAGCCCAAGACGCTCTGGATATGGATATCAGTACTGCCCGCGGAAGAGTAAACGCCACAGACATCAACCCCAGGAAGCACTTAAGAAACCCCCCCCTCTGGCAAATCGATAACCCTTTCCGCACCATCATCCATATCCGCATCATCATCATCATCATCATCATCATCATCATCATCATCATCATCAGCATCAGCATCAGCATCAGCATCAGCATCAGCATCAGCATCAGCATCAGCATCAGCATCAGCATCAGCATCAGCATCAGCATCAGCATCAGCATCAGCATCAGCATCAGCATCAGCATCAGCATCAGCATCAGCATCAGCATCATCATCATCATCATCATCATCAGCATCAGCATCAACATCAGCATCAGCATCATCATCATCATCATCATCATCATCATCATCATCATCATCGTGTCCGGGTGCTACAGCTATCGTTCGGTTATTCCGGCCCTTCGGAATATCGAATAAAAAATGCGGTGCTACGATATCGCCAGGGGGTTTCTTAAATGCTTCCTGGGGTTACTCTTGGCGCTCCGCGGATCTCTTGGCCTCTGCGCGGGACGCCCCCCTCCCCGGCGCGCGGCGCGCGGCGCGCGCCAGGGGCGGCACCAGGGGCGGCGCCGCACGGGGGGGGACCCCGCGCGGGTCCGAGAAATCCGCGCGGAGTGCCAGAAGTCTGCGCTCGTGGCGCTCTTCTGAGGAATGAAAAGCCGACCCCGCCCTGGCTTACAAGTGCGCGGTCTGTCAACCCTCCTGGGAACCCCCCAAGGCCTAGAGCCGCCACAGGACGCGGCACACCACGCAGATGTTCACCCTGGCAGCCCACAGGAGTTTCGGCGCACGGCGCCTCGTGAGCCAGGGTAGGGGCGTTTTTTCTGCCCTTAACGTTTTTTCTGCGATTGTCGGTCGCAAATGAAAAAACCAAGCCAAAAACCATTCGACTGCGAAGAACGTGCCATTCGCAAATGAAAAAATCAAGCCAAAAACCATTCGATGACGAAGAATCATCGGGATTGAAACATATAGGAATCGTATAGTGGCTCATTAGGAAGGAAAGGCGCAGTCCTGACGAAATTGGGCTCCTGGATGGGCGAAGTGGACATACTCATTCTTCGACATAATGCGAAACCTCCCGTCGGGATTCTTGCACAGCGCCAGGGGGGGGTCTGGGCGCACCGCCCGCCGCCCACGGCCCGCAGGGCGCGCGCGAGCAGAGGCCACCGACCGGCGGCGGCCAGCAGAGCGCTCGGCGCTGCTTCCTCGCGGGGATGGCCTCCGTCTGTCCCCCCCTAGCGCCGCTGCGGCGGAGGCTCGCGTCGTGCCGCCGTCTGTCGGCGTCGGCTTCCGGAGCCGCTCAGTGCGCCCAGGGACACACACACACACATAAATGCACACAAGTCTTAGGTCGGGCGTGTCCCCTGCAGGCGGATTTCGGACAAAGAACTGAAAGTTCCCAAAACACATAGCACAAATACTTCAATCTAGTCAAAAATCACCCCAGACTATTTTTAAACTATTTTTGAATATTCCTCCTGAAGAGGGACAGGCCCGACTTAACACAAATCCCAGGAATCCCCACATAGTTTCCAATATCTTGCCGGTCTTCGTCTTCGCCACCCCTTCCATTGATCATGTTCCCATGTTTTCCTGGTAGTCGGCTATTCATTGCGTTTGTGTGCTTATGCCCCCCCCTGATCTGAAGGGCGGCGGACTCTGTAAGCGCAGCCACTGCTCCTGGCCCTGGCCCCTCCTGGGCCCAGAAGCGGTGTGTACGCCCTCCGGGCTTGGCCAGGCAGACATATACACAGCTCCAGGGCACAGGATGGGCCTGGCCAGGGTCCGTGGATGCAGTCGGGGCTTTGACCCAAGGAACCCTAAGTTAGGACCGAGGCTCCTTTGTTTCATAAGCGAAAGAAATGTCGATTCCCCATCGAACATCACAAAGGAACACCAAAGGCGAACTGTAAGACAACGAAGGAACACTGCGCCCCTCCCAAACGAACAGGGTTTCTTCTTCAGCGCCCCGACTGTCTGCACCGCTCCTGCGGCCCAGGATGGACCTGGCCAGGTTCCGTGGATATGTGGAACACTCGTCGCCCGATACCGCGGGGATCGTTCCTTCTTGAACGATCAACTGTTTCCGCAACGTGATATCGTTCAACAACGTCCGACTCTTGGTCGCCAACGGCGTTCAACGTTCAATGCCGGCGGCGGGATCGCCGCCAGTCGACACGACGCGAACCTGCCGTAGCCGCGTCGAATCCGCGTGAAATACATGCCATACATCAAAGCTGCGTCACATCCGCCTCGAATCTGAGTCGAATCTGCATCGAATCCACGTCACACCCGAATCCGCCACTTTGCCAGGCGAGGATTTATCCATAACCACCGCCGGCCGAAGTACCCGAAGACCGATAACCCAGGCGGTGGTTATGGACAAACCCTCGCCTCGGACACTTGGAGGACAGACAACCATCCCCCAAACATGCGACATACAGAAGCATGGGACTCATCCCCTGTTCTGAAGGGGCAAGGATAAGGGGGACCAGCTCAGGGGTGGAAGAATCCACGTGGAATCGGCGATACGTCGCCGACCGATCGGCGATCAGGCCCCGATGGCGAATCCGCACGCTTGTGGGCGAGGTGGGCAATCGGACCCCCCATCCGGAAGAACAAAAAACGCCATAAACATAAGCTGGCGCGCGGAGCGCGCCAGGGGCGGCGCCGACGGCGCCGCCAGGGGGGCCCCAGAGCGGGATCCAAGAACTCCGCGCGGAGCGCCACAAGTTTCTGCTTGTGGGGCCACTTCTCCGTCGACCATCGGCGACGAGTGGGCGAGAGGGGGTCGATGCGCTCCCACCGGAGCCTATCCCGTGGCAGATGTCGGGTCAGACCTATGGGTTCGACATGTCCTCCTACAGGCGGATTTGGGATGAAAACTAAAACATAAGAAACACATATTCACCAACAGTCAAACAATGATTTGAATCAGATCGTCCCAATACTATGTTCTAAATATCCTTGAATCTTTCTCGTGTAGATGGACAGGCCCGACTTGATGGTAGCTTTCGGGCCATGCCTCAAGCCCCTTGGGGCCGGGCACCCCAGGGCGCCTCTGGAGGCGAGATATGCAGGCTGCTGGAGAGCAGAGCCCGAGGCTGCAAGACCGCCGAGGACCGGCAGAAACGTCCGAAGAGCTCGAACCCCGAAACATCGTTTGGGCCAGAGGTGTCCTCCTACAGGCGCATGTTGGAGGAAAGATGAAACAGAATCCTCGAATGCTCAAACATAAGGAAAGGTATTCGAAAAATGCCCCCACACGATTTCTGTGTAGATACACGCACATATATATATATATATATATATATATATATAGATATGTATATGTAATTATACACATGACTTTTCCTCCTGGAGGAAAACATGCCCGACTTAAATAGGAGAACAACAAGTGACATAAACATAACAACTCGGAGCTCCGCGCGGATTTCTCGGATCGGCGCCCCCTCCCTGGCGCGCGGAGCGCCCCAGGGGCGGCGCCGGAGGCGCCGCCAGGGGGACCCAGCGCCGATCCCAGAAAAATCCGCGCGGACCTCCGAGGTTTTATGCTCATGTCACTTTTTGTTCCCCTATGAAAGCATCGCCCCCGAATGCTCAAACACAAGGAGAGGTATTCGAAAAATTGTCCCCACACGATGTATACATACATGCATATACACATATGTATACATACATATTTATACATCTACGTATATACATAAATATGTATATGTATATACATATATATACATATATATATGTATATATATATATATATCGATATATCTATATATATATATATACACAGGACTTTGCCTCCTGGAGGAAGACATGCCCGACTTAAAGCATCGCCTCCCCCCTGAGCCGGGCGCCCCCCCAAACGTTGCCCCCGAGACTCGCTCGCCTGCCTCACCATCGCGCTGGGGGCCGGCGTCTGCGCGCGCCGGCTCAGGGACTGCACCCGCCGGGCGAGCTCCGCGGCCTGCGCGCGGGCGGCCGCGCGCCGCGGCCGACGACGGCGCCGAGGCCGCCGGCGGCGACGGCCCCCAAAAATCGGAGGCGGCACGAGTTCTAGGGGAATAAGAAGTGGCATAAACATAAGAACTCGGAAGTTCGCGCGGATTTCTCGGATCGGCGCTGGACCCCCCCTGGCGGCGCCGGAGGCGCCGCGATCCGAGAAATCCGAGATCCGAACAATCCGCGCGGACCTCCGAGTTTTTATGTTGATGCCACCTTTGAGTCCCCTCATTTTGTTCACTCTCGGCCTCTACGGCCCTCCATCGGGCCCCAGGACCAGCAAGAGAGGGGACCCGGGGCGCGACAAGCTGCCCCCCAGAGCAGGGGGCGCGAGCCGAGGGCCGCGGAGTGAGCATAGCCTGGCGGTGGGCCCCGTCCATGTGAAGCGGCGAGTGTCGCGAGGCCACGATGAGTGCGAGTGGTTTGCCGGGAGGGGTGCGGTGCCGCCATGCGGACGCTGCCACTGGGGCCTTCCAACCAATTTCCCACGGGGACCGCAAAACGTGGGGAGGGGGGGCCGAAATGGACGCGGCTGCGCCGTGCGAGCCCTGCCACTGGGGTCTTCGGTCGAACCCACTACGGCGCCACGAAAAGTGCGAGGGATGCGCCAGTATGGGCGCGGTGCTGCTGTCGCCTTCGGTGAAGCTCGGTATGGGGCCACGAAACGTACGAGAGGTCTGCCGACATGGGCGCGGGGGCGTCATGCGCACCCTCCCGCTGGGGCCTTCGGTTGAGCTCCCAATGGGGCCACGAAGCGTGTGCGGGGGATGCCGAAATGGACGCGGAGTCGCCGTGCGAACCCTGCCACTGGGGCTTTTGGAAACGTGTAATGGGTGTGCCGAAACTGGCACGGATGGCCAAGTTGACCCTTGGCTCAAGCACACTCCGCACTCGCGCGTGCTCAACCCCCACCGTCGATAAGCCGCACTTGAGCAAGCGGCCCGCGTGCCCACGGCCCGCGACGAGGCCCGCGCCCAGGTGCAACCCAACCCGTGCGAACCTCCCCGTCCAGCACGATGCGCTTTTCATTCGCGCAGACGTGACATCGCCCTCGGACGCCCCACTGCTGGACGATGGCGAGGCCGACGAATTCGCATGCTTTCCACAGGTCGATGGACATGGCCGTGGCCTCCTCTCCTCCTCTGCGACTACTCGGCTCGGGTCGCAGGGCTTGCCACCGCGCCGCCTCCTCCGCTGACCGACCCTGCCTCCCGAATGGCTGCCCGCTGAGTCCGCGTCGAAGCTCTCGCCCCGCCTCCTCGCCGCAGATTGTCGCACGCGGCTATACGGGCGGGGGTGCCACCCAAGCAGCCCTGTAGGCCTGATGCCTGCTTGTGGCTTGGGTGTCATGACCACCAGAGAGTCCGTGATCACACCAGACCAGACTGCCATGTCCTCGCACTCGGGTAAGCCTTCGCGCGGGCCTCGGCGAACCTCCACGGCCCGAACATCAACGCAATTTCGACAAAATTGCACGCTGATTTCGGCCGCCCGGCTTCGCCGTCGTCGAGGCCTCTTCCCGAGATCGTCCAGAAAGCGTCCAAACGTCGCCCGGAAATCGACCAACTGCGACGAAAGCTTCCCGACAACGCACAACCACAAATAATCGGAACTCCCTGAGGCCCCCATGAGGGACCACGCAGCCGCAAAGCATGCCGAAGTCGGTCAGCGCCTCCAGCATATCGTCGCCCAACCAGGCGACTTGCCTCGGGTTGGCGCGGCCGCTGCCCCCCCCAACTCGTAGCGGAAGTCTGGGCCGCCCTCCTCGCGTCCGCCATTGTTGGCCTCGGAACGGCCGTTCCGTTGTGGATCGCCGCTGCCGGCCGAAGCCTGCTGCCATCTCGCCGTGCCCGCTGGGCTCTCTCGTGCACCAGAAATTGTCCGCGATGGCCCGTGCTCGGCACGCTGCCCGCTGGCTGGCGCGTCGCCCGCCGCGTCGCCCGGGGCCCATCCGAGAGGGCCTCGCCAAACAGAGCGCGCCCCGCCGCCACCTTCGGCGACCGACTGGATCACCCATCCACTCCTGGACGCCTCTGCTGCGCCCGGCTGCACGCGGCGCTGCGCGCGCTTCCGCCACTGCCTTCGCCTCGTTGATCCACTTGTCCAGCGGCGCAAGCAACGGGCGCCGCGGCGCAGACTGCGCCCTTGGAGGCCAACTGATGCCCGACGGCCCAGCGACCCCCTTTCGCGGCCGAAAAACCTTGGCACGCTGCGCCTCACTGCTGGGAAAAATACAACAACAACAAAAAAAAACGGCCGCTGGCGGGCTAGAGTTCCGCTGGCACGGCGGGGGCACGGCGGGCACGTTGGTCGCGTTGGCACGGCGGGGGCACTGGTCTGAATATGCCGACGCAGTCCCCTGAGCAAGACTCTCATGCTCGCCCCTACTCTTCGGCGCCTCTCCGGAAAAAGGGGGTCGATGGGGGCGAGGCGCCTTTGACGAGCGGCTTTTCCTCCACCCGGCGCCTCTACGCATAGTTGCCTCGCCGCCCTGCACCTCGCCCAGACTACAGGTCGCATGAGTCCACGGACTCGAGCTCGGAGACCTGCGCCCCCGCCCAGGAGGGGCATTGCGTAGGGCGTGCAGGCAGCCCAGGCATCTGCCCTGTCGCTCGCAATTCTCAGCCCAGGCATCAACCCCTCAGCCTGCAGAGCCAGCCTGCCTAGAGCCCCCTCCGCCCCGCATCAGGGCGCCGCCGCCCCGCGCCATGGCGGGCGTGCCCTCCAGCGCCGCCGCCTCGCGCCACGTCTGCAACAGTGCCCGAAGAACGCCCCCCCCGCCCCCCCCCCATGGCGGGCATCCCCACACTTGCTGTGCGTGCGCCCCGCACGTGGCTTCCTCGATGCGCCGCTCCATCCTGACCCTCGCCAGCGCATGCCCCCGGGCTCTGAATTTCATGGTCGTCGCGCGGTACCCGACCACCCTGCCCACCCTCCTGACGCCGTGATGGGGGCATCCGCTCGTCTGGTCATCCCTTGCTTTCCATGCAGCTATGCACTCCGCGGTGGGCCGCATCCTCCCGCGCGTTCTGGTCGAACGCCACCAGCACGTCGAGGATCTAAGGTTTCTCCCCCTCCTGCTCAGCCCGGGGTTCCCCGCGAGTTCGCATATGTCTGGCGTGGCTGTAAATGGGCCCACCCAATGTGAAGGACGCACGTCGCACGTCACGCACCAGGTCCCCTTGAGGTCCCCCAGCTGGGAACGGGAAAAATGGGGTCGGAAGATCGCGCCGCATCGCCGATGCATCGGCGATGCATCGGTGATGCAGCTGCGATGCATCGCCGACGTCGGAGTTGCATCGGCGCCGTCGGCGCGAAGCAAATCGGGCCACGTATCGAACCGCATCGGCGACGCATCGCCGATGCATCGGCGATGCGGTGCGATCCTCCGACTCCATCTACTCCGACCACATCTGAGAAGCCTAGATCCACCACATCGTCATGGACCTCTGCCGCGTTCAAATGAGCCAAGAGACTGATCCGCAATGCTGCCCTCCAGTCCAAGGCGCGCCGGTGGTGAGCTGTGGCCCACGGCCCCCCGTCGGAGCGGCTTCCCCAAGTCGCACGCGCACGCACGCACGCACGCAAACACCCATACGCACACACACACACACACACACACACACACACACACTCACACACACGCACTCCATTGTCCATGCTATGCTCTTACAAGCGCCGCGAAATAGCCGGTGACCCTCGACGTGAAATCGGGCACCTGTCCGCTCGCAGCTGGCGTCGGGCCCCTTGGTGGGCCTCGCTCTTGCGGGCGGGCCCCGTGCGAACTGACGTGCGCCCCCCCGCCCGCGGTGTCGCCGCGCGAACTCCGCGTCGATCTGGCGCGCCCCCAGTAGCTCGCCGTCGACGCTCGCGCGTCGGCTGCTGCGCAGTTTCCAAAGGGGGTGGCCCGCGGCTGGCTGGGTAGCGCTAGACTTTGAATGTGTTCCGTATTCGCCCCCGTCCGGGGCCCCATGGGCGCGTCCTCCGGGGGGAGCTGCATGGCCCTTGAGGCAGAAGGCCATGAACTCCCTCGCCCTCCCCGCTAGGGTGAAGCGCGCCCCTGCGACTGGCCTGCATGTCTACCGCGTGGCAGCCTAGGAGCCTGTCGGCAAGGCTCAAACCCACGATGAACAAGTCCACTTTCGACGCCCCCTCGCCCGAATCCAGCGGCCGGCTTTCCGTCGGAACGCGCGTCGACGATCAAGTTGCCCCCTGGAGCTTGCGGCGCGCCCGACTTCTTTAGTGCGCCCCGCCGATGCCCCGCAGAAAACCCAGGCAGACACTCTCAACAAGTCGACCAAACCCGCGATGAAACCGCCTGGCACGAGGCCGGCCACGCGTGCCAGAGAAGCACCGCTGGCCAGCACATGGCGCGGGTCCGTGGCCTCGTTCGCGCCAAGCCCGCGCACCCCGCGCCGCCGCTCGACGGTAACTCCAGCGCCGCAGCTTGAGGCCCTACGCCTTTCTCCGTCGCGCGCCGCAGCTCCAGGTGCCAAGACCTTGCGCGGCTCAGCCTGCCTGCGCCGCTGCCCCTGACCCGCGGCGCGCTCCACGTTGAGGCGGTGCTCTTGGATCTTGTGGCCATCGGGGCGGTGATGCTGGAGCTCTTCGTCCGACCCCCGCACTGGCGGCGTCAGGATCGCAGTCGCAGCCCCCGAACCGCTGGCGTTGATTGCGGCGATTCGCGCTTTCCTCGTTTCTTGAATGAGTGCGCTCGACGGCCCTGCAACTATCGCTGCGTCCTGGCTTTCCCAATAGCCACATAATCAAGAGAAGCTGCTCTTCTTCGTGTTCACCGCCCTCCGTGGCTTCGCCCTCGGCATGCGGCTCCTTTCTCGTGGCGACGTCGACAGTGGCCCCCAGCTCGTCACGCCCACTGCCTCCTCCGCCGCAACCCGGTTTGACGAACTCGTTGGCCACGCGCCGCGCGGCGCCCGCCTGTTTCGCCCATGCCTTGCGGCGTTT